AATATGCTAACTCTGGGCAACATAGCAACCTCATCTCCACCAAGAATAAAAATTAGCCAGGCATGGTGGTGCACACCTCTAGTTTCCCCTGCTTGGGAGGCTAAGGCGGGAGGATTGCTTAAACCCAGGAATTAGAGGCTGCAATAAGCTATGATCATGCCACTGCACTCCAGCCTATGTGACAGAGTGAGATCCTGTCTCAAAATAAATTGAATGTAGTATTTTTTTTTTAAAGATAATGGATTCTGTTATTTTTTTGAGATGGAGTCTAGCTCTGTCGCCAGGCTGGAGTGCAGTGGTGCAATCTCAGCTCACTGCAACCTCCGCCTCCCAGGTTCAAGTGATTCTCCTGTCTCAGCCTCCCAAGTAGCTGGGATTACAGGCACACACTGCCAAGCCCAGCTAATTTTTTGTGTTTTTAGTAGAGACTGAGTTTTACCATGTGGACCAGGATGGTCCCCAACTCCTGACCTCACATGACCCACTCATCTCGGCCTCCCAAAGTGCTGGGATTACAGGCATGAGCACTGCACCGACCTTGGCTTCCCTTTAGTAAATCACCACTCAATTTGATGTGGAGACTCTGCTCATTCCCAGAATATAATGAATGGATTATTTCCCAACCCATTTCCTCTGTTTTATCTATCATTGTAATCAAGGGCCAGGGTCTTCCCTTGTGAAACAGAAGTGGCTCCCCTGTGCTCTGCAGCAAGCTAGACCTAGGCTTAAATCCTGAAGTGTGCTAAGATTCCACTGCACGGTGCCATCCCGAGGCCCCTGTGATGTGTCTCAACTGGAGTCTTCTCCAAGCTCCGTGAACCCCAGCACTAGCACCCTGGCTACCAGTCTAAACGTAGTCTCAGAGCTCAGTAACTTGAGGAACCCTGAAGTCCATGACTTCTCACACCTCTGCCATCCTAGTCTTCATTTTTTTGTTTGTATTAAGTTATTTAATCATGACGAGTTTTGATATAGAAAACTATTGTTTTCTGTGTCTTACAGATGAGGAAACAGGCAGTGTAGCATGCCTAGAATTCAGACTCCACGTCTATTTCCTGGACCCAAGCTCTTAACTCCTGTGCTGTAAGCTAAGAACACTGAATAATTTTTTTTTTTTTTTTTTTTTTTTGAGACAGAGTTTTGCTCTTGTTACCCAGGCTGGAGTGCAGTGGCACGATCTCGGCTCACCGCAACCTCCGCCTCCTGGGTTCAGGCAATTCTCCTGCCTCAGCCTCCTGAGTAGCTGGGATTACAGGCACGTGCCACCATGCCCAGCTCATTTTTTGTATTTTTAGTAGAGACGGGGTTTCACTATGTTGACCGGGATGGTCTTGATCTTTTGACCTCGTGATCCACCCGCCTCCCTCCCAAAGTGCTGGGATTACAGGCTTGAGCCACCGCGCCCAGCCAACACCGAATAATTTTGATTATTTTCTTTAGCATTTACCACCAAATAACATAATATGTATTATACTTATTTATCTTGTTATGTCTGTGTCTCCCACTAGACTATAAGCCTCACAAGGGCAAAGATATTTGTTTTATTTACTGTATCAGCAGCTAAAATAGAGCCCAACCATAGAGGAGGTACCCAGTACATATATATTTACAAAATTTTATTTATTTATTTGAGAGAGTCTGTGCAGTGTCATGATCTTGGCTCACTGCAACCTCTGCCTCCTAGGTTGAAGTGATTCTCCTGCCTCATCCTCCAGAGTAGCTGGAACTACAGGTACATGCCACCACGCCCAGATTATTTTTGTATTTTCAGTAGCAGCAGGGTTTCACCATGTTGGCCAGGCTGGTCTTGAACTCCTGACCACAGGTGATTTATTTACCTGTCTCCCAAAGTGCTGGGATTACAGGTGTGAGCCACCAGGCTGGGCCCCAGTATATATATTTTGAATGAATAAATGAATGAATGGACACGAAAAATTTTAGCTATTAGAATCTTTGCACAAACAACAGGCCCACAGCAAATATCTTTTCCCAAATAAAAATAAGTTCTCAGCCAGGCATGGTGGCTCACGCCTATAATCCCAGCACTTTGGGAGTCTGAGGCGGGCAGATCATCAGGTCAAGAGATGGAGACCATCATGGCCAAGATGGTGAAACCCCGTCTCTACTAAAAATACAAAAATTAGCTGGGCGTGGTGGCACGTGCCTGTAGTCCCAGCTACTTGGGAGGCTGAAGCAGGAGAACTGCTTGAACCCGGGAGGTGGAGGTTGCAGTAAGCTGAGATCGTGCCACTGCACTCCAGCCTGGCACCTGGCAATGGACCGAGACTGTCTCAAAAAAAAAAAAAAAAAGAAGGAAGTCCTCATCACAGATTATTTCACCACTCCAGAAACAGACAAAAGCTTTTTTTTTTTTTTTGAGACGGAGTCACTCTGTCGCCAGGCTGGAGTGCAATGGCGCAATCTTGACTCACTGCAACCTGTACCTCCCGGGTTCAAGTGATTCTCCTGCCTCAGCCTCCCCAGTAGCTGGGACTACAGGCATGCGCCACCATGACAGGCTAATTTTTTGTATTTTTTTTAGTAGAGATGGGGTTTCACCATGTTGGCCAGGATGGTCTTGATCTCTCAATCTTGTGAGCCACCCACCTTGGCCTCCCAAAGTGTTGGGATTACAGGCATGAGCCACCGCACCTGGCCAACAAAAGCTTTTAAGAGTGTTTTCTGGCAAAGCACAGTGGCTCACACCTATAATCCCAATACTTTGGGAGGCCAACGTGAAAGTATGGCTTGAGGCCAGGAGTTATAAAGGAGCCTGGGCAACATAGCAAGACCCAACCTCTACAAAAAATAAAAATACAAAATTAGCCAGGCATGGTGGCACACACTGTAGCCCTAGCTGTTCAGGATGCCGAGGCAGAAGGATTGCTTGAGCTCAGGAGTTCAAGGCTGCAGTGAGCTATGATCGCGCCACTGCACTCCAGCCTGGGCAACAGAGAAACACCGTGTCTCTAAAACAATATAATAAAACTGTGTTTTGCCCTCTGTTCTCGGAAGTCCTTCTGCTTTCCTGAGGATGTCAGCGTCCACGAGCATGAGCATGCAGTTCGCCTGACTCACCATCCCACGTCTTCCTCAGCTCTGATGACCTTTGCTTCCACTCCCCTTAAGCCACCCCAGGCAAGGCTCTTGTGATCCTTTCAGATGGCTAGATTTCTGAAATCTTAAACTCTGACATTCTTTCTATTTGCCCTTCATGGCACATGGTATTTTCCAAGGTGGTTGCAACAAGTTCTGCCATCTCATGTGCTCGTTTTTTTAATTTTTAAATTTTTTATTTTATTTATTTTTATTTTTATTCTCTCTGTCACCCAGACTGGAGTGCAATGGTGTGATCTCGGCTGACTGCAGCCTCCATCTCCCGGGTTCAAGCGATTCTCCTACCTTGGCCTTCCTATTAGTTGACATTACAGGCGCCCACCACCACGCCTGGCTATTGAAAATTTGTATTTTCATTAGAGATGGGGTTTCACCAGGTTGGTCAGCCTGGTCTCAAACTCTTGACTTCAAGTGATCTGCCTGCCTCAGCCTCCCAAAGTTCTGGAATTACAGACATGAGCCACCACGCCCAGCCTAACTTTTAAATTTTATAAATAGGTAACAATAGGCCTGGCGCGGTGGCTCACACCTGTAATCCCAGCACTTTGGGAGGCCAAGGCAGGTGAATCATTAGGTCAGAGATCAAGACCATCCTGGCCAACATGATGAAACCCCGTCTCTACTAAAAATAAAAATAAATAAAAAAAAAAATTAGCAGGGCATAGTGGCATGTACCTGTAATCCCAGCTACTTGGGAGGCTGTGGCAGGAGAATTGCTTGAACCAGAGACTCAGAGGTTGCAGTGAGCCGAAATCATACCACTGCATTCTAGCCTGGCAACAGAGTGAGACTTCATCTCAAAAAAAACGGGGCGGGGTGAACAATAGACACTGTTGATTACTAGATGGGGAAGTGGGGAAAGGGATGTCGGTTAAAAAACTACCTATAAGGTGCTATGCTCACTACCTGGATGCAAAGTACCCTTGTAACAAATTGCATATGTACCTCCTGTATGCAACCCAAAAGTTGAGAGCTGGTGTAATGGCTCATGCCTGTAATCCCAGCACTTTGGGAGGCCGAGGTGTGAGGATCACTTGAGCTCAGGGGTTCAAGACTAGCCTGGGCAATGTGGTGACACCCTGTCTCTACAAAAAATACAAAAATCAGGCAGGCATGGTGGACTGCACCTGTAGTCCCAGGTGGGACTGAGGAGGGTGAGGTGAAAATTGCTTGAGCCCAGGAAAGCAAGGCTGCAATGAGCTGTAATGACACCACCGCACCCCAGCTTGGGCAACTGAACAAATCCCTGTCTGAAAAACAGAACAAAATAAAACAAAAAACTCACTAACTCTGAACTCCCATTAAGCAAAATATGCCTAAACAAACCAATTCCATTCCTCTCATCAGTAGCATCAGTCGCATTATTATATAATGACATCATTTTTTTTTGAGATGGAGTCTCACTCTGCCACCCAGGCTGGAGTGCAGGGGTGTGATCTCAGCTCACTGCGATGTCCGCCTTCCGAGTTCGAGCGCTTCTCCGGCCTCAGCCTCCCGAGCAGCTGGGAGCACAGGCGGCCGCCACCACACCCAGCTACTTTGTGTTTGTTTATTAGAGACGGGATTTCACCGCGCTGGCCGGACCGGTCTGGAACGCCTGACCTCGGGGGATCCACCGGCCTCGGCCTCCGGAAGTGCTGGCATCACAGGCTGGCATCACAGGCGTGAGCCAGCGCGCCCGGCCGACAGCAGGATCTCGGCATTGTGAGTCTCATCCGCAGGAAATCGATGGGAAGGAGGGGCGGTGCCAGGGCCGAGCGCGCGCCTGTGTCGTCATCGCGGAGACGGGCAGTCCGACGCTTCTGATTGGCGGGCTCCGCGGGGCGGCTCCTCGGCCCGCCCCCGTCGGCCGTCTCCGCCCGGGGGGTTCTGGGAGGGCTGGGGCCGCGCGGGCAGGTGGAAGGCAGGCGCGGGGAGCTGGCGGGAGTCGGGGGCGCCGGCGGCGAGCGGGGCGGGCGCGGCGCGGCCGGCGCATGCGCACTGGGGGTCCGGGCCGGCGCCGCGCGCCGCCATTGCGGGGAGCGGTGGTCGGAGCGGGTCTGGCGCGCGCGAGGCCGGACGGGCCGCAGCAGCCCAGTCACCCGGCGTCAGCGGCTTAGGCGGCGGGGCCCTCGGCACCCTGTCCCGCCCGGGTCCACGCTGGCGGCGGCGGCGGCGGCGGAGCCTGCCGGAGCGCCCTTTGTCTGCGAAGGTAAGTGCGCTCCGGGCGCCGGCGGAGGCGGGAGGAGGCGGGCGGCGGGGGAGCCGCGGGCGGCGTCCCCTGTCCTGTCACCCGCCCCGGGTCCCTTTCGGAATTTTGGTCTTTTTTTTTTTTTTTTTTTTTTGAGACGGAGTTTCGCTCTTGTCACCCAGGCTGGAGTGCAATGGCGCGATCTCGGCTCACCGCAACCTCCGCCTCCTGGGTTCAGGCAATTCTCCTGCCTCAGCCTCCTGAGTAGCTGGGATCACAGGCACGCGCCACCATGCCCAGCTAGTTTTTTTTTGTATTTTTAGTAGAGACGGGGTTTCACCATGTTGACCAGGTTGGTCTCGATCTCTCGACCTCGTGATCCACCCGCCTCGGCCTCCCAAAGTGCTGGGATTACAGGCGTGAGCCACCGCGCCCGGCAATTTTGGTCTTTTGTAGGAAGGTCTTCCCCGTCCCAGTACTGTAAACACATTGTCCACTACTATCTGCGAATGACTCTAAGGCTGAAAAAAACCCTGCGATTTATTTTTGGGCAGGCGTCCATAGGAATCATTTTAGGGGAAAGTTTTTCCTCATCTCAGCATTGTGCAAACGTTGCCTTTATCTTCTTCTAAGACGCTTAAATAATTTTAAGAATATTTTTCTTTTTCCCCTTTTTGTCTGTATTTCACTGGGTGTGCTGTTTGTGGTAAGGGGTGAGGTAGAGAGTTGCCGTTTTCTCTCATTGCCTTGACTCCGTTGAGTCACTTTTCCACGGAATTGCAGTGACACTTTAATGACATTTCGCAGGCGTGTATATAATCAGATGTGTTTCTGCTTTTTTATGTTTTCGTTTTGAGACAGGATCTCACTTTGTCACTGGCTACAGTGCATTGGTGCAATCATGGCTCACTGCAGCCTCGAACGCCTCAAGAGCTCTTCCTGCCTCAGCCTCCCTAGTAGCTGGGACCAGGGGTGCGCACCACCACGTCCGGCTTTTTGTTGTTGTTAAGAGATTGGGTCTCAGGCCGGGCGCGGTGGCTCAAGCCTGTAATCCCAGCACTTTGGGAGGCCGAGGTGGGCGGATCACGAGGTCAGGAGATCCAGACCATCCTGGTCAACATGGTGAAACCCCGTCTCTACTAAAAATACAAAAAATTAGCTGGGCATGGTGGTGCGTGCCTGTAATCCCAGCTACTCAGGAGGCTGAGGCAGGAGAATTGCCTGAACCCAGGAGGCGGAGGTTTCGGTGAGCTGAGATCGTACCATTGCTCTCCAGCCTGGGTAACAAGAGCGAAACTCCCTCTCAAAAAAAAAAAAAAGAGAAAGAGATTGGGTCTCATCATGTTGCCCAGGCTGGTCTTGAACTCCTGAGCGCAAGTAATCCTCCCGCCTGGGCCTCTCAAAGTGCTAGAATTGAAGGCCTGAGCCAAGGCGTTTGCCAGGATGTTTCTAGATTCTTTCCTTTTACTGCCCTGACAGTTTCTGCACTAATTATATGTGTATTTATTTCATTTAAAATGTTTAGGCCGGTTGTGGTGACTCACACCTGCAATTGCAGCACTTTGGGAGGCAGAGGCAGGAGGATGACTTAAGCTCACAAGTTGGAGACCAGCCTGGGCAACATGGCAAGACCCTGTCGCTGCAAAAACACTAGAAAAATTAGCTGTGCTTGGTGGCGTGTGCCTGTAGTTCCCAGCTACTTGGGAGGCTTGTAACTAGGAAACTGGACCCACCTAACCTGGGGTGGTCACAAGAGGCAGTAGCCAAATTGGGATCCTTTGAAATGTAAAGTAGTTCATTTGCGTGCACAATTAGTGGGGAAAGCTGGTTTTAGAATCAGAAAACCCGAAGGGGGAGACCTACTTGAGGTTTGCCCTGGCTGAAATCTGGTAAGAGATTTGGAAAGACTTTTTATTTTAGAGCTCTGTGGTCAGAAATCAGCTTAATTAAAAGCCAGTATTTAGGTTATAACGTTTTCTGCAGCAGGGAAGGCCTCCTCAGTTTTTGTCTTTTAGATCCTGTTTCTGGGGATTTTGTTAGCCAGCTGAAATCCCTTTTTAAATGTGTTCCATCCCTGTTTGCTTCCTATGTTGGCATTTTTGCTGAGAAAAATGTAAAATGTCATTGTCCTTTTTGAAAACTTTTGTAGCAAGGAGCACTGTGGACATTTTGCATAGCCTGGTATTGTGTTTCCTTCTCTTGGGGCGCTGGTGAGTCAATACAGAGGCGAGACTTTTTTTTTTTTTTGAGACGGAGTTTCGCTCTTGTTACCCAGGCTGGAGTGCAATGGCGCGATCTCGGCTCACCGCAACCTCCGCCTCCTGGGCTCAGGCAATTCTCCTGCCTCAGCCTCCTGAGTAGCTGGGATTACAGGCACGCGCCACCATGCCCAGCTAATTTTTTGTATTTTTAATAGAGACAGGGTTTCACCATGTTGACCAGGATGGTCTCGATCTCCTGACCTCGTGATCCACCCGCCTCGGCCTCCCAAAGTGCTGGAATTACAGGCGTGAGCCACCACGCCCGGCCAGAACCTAATTCTTAAAGTGCTTTCAACTCACTCCTGAAAGGTCTTAGTGAAGGGTTTTGAAATGTCAGATTGTTGCCATGCCTTGGGCGGTGAAAGGCTGCCTCATCTCACAGGGCCATTTCACCGGAACTGCAGTTTTCTCTTTCAAAAAATTGCTCCTCAGAAATGGCTTCTTTCTTTTTTTTTTTTTTTTTTTTTTTTTTGAGACGGAGTTTCGCTCTTGTTACCCAGGCTGGAGTGCAATGGCGCGATCTCGGCTCACCGCAACCTCCGCCTCCTGGGTTCAGGCAATTCTCCTGCCTCAGCCTCCTGAGTAGCTGGGATTACAGGCACGCGCCACCACGCCCAGCTAGTTTTTTGTATTTTTAGTAGAGACGGGGTTTCACCATGTTGACCAGGATGGTCTCGATCTCTCGACCTCGTGATCCACCCGCCTCGGCCTCCCAAAGTGCTGGGATTACAGGCTTGAGCCACCGAGCCCGGCCGCTTCTTTCTTTATTTCCATCACTCGCTTTTTTTTTTTTTTTTTTTTTTTTTTTTTGAGACGGAGTTTCGCTCTTGTTACCCAGGCTGGAGTGCAATGGCGCGATCTCGGCTCACCGCAACCTCCGCCTCCTGGGTTCAGGCAATTCTCCTGCCTCAGCCTCCTGAGTAGCTGGGATTACAGGCACGCACCACCATGCCCAGCTAACTTTTTGTATTTTTAGTAGAGATGGGGTTTCACCATGTTGACCAGGATGGTCTCGATCTCTTGACCTCGTGATCCACCCGCCTCGGCCTCCCAAAGTGCTGGAATTACAGGCTTGAGCCACCGCGCCCGGCCCCATCACTCGCATTTTAAAAAAGATTTCACAGGTCAACCTTTTTGAACAGAAAAAAAAAATATATTCCTTCATGATAATTAGCAAATCAACACAGTCTTACTCTGTTGTTGATGAAACACGTGTTTTTTCATCTTTCTAAAGGAAACCATCACTGTTGCTCTAGGCAAAGAGCATGTGTTCTCTGTTCTGTAAAAGTTTAGCAAAGGACTGAGGCTGAATTTGTTGTCATTGACACATGTACACATCTCTGCCTTTTGTAATGTGTGAATCTGAGAAATTCTAAAAGTGCTTTTTGATTAAAGAACGCCACTCCTTCCTGTGCTCTGTCTGTGCGAATGGTTTGTATGTAAGCCCCTAGGTGGCTGGAACTGCTGGATTTCTTCTGCTGACCCTGGGGCATCTCCTTACAGGTCTTCAACCGGAAATTCTGTCTTACAAGATCCCTGCCAGGATGCAGATTTGAATACCGTAATGAAATGTGTACATGAGGAATTGATGCTTTTAGAGAGGGAGAAAAAAGGTAATAACAGCCTTCGAGACCCCCTGCATCTCAGCTCGGCATGGACAAGGCAGGATTCTGAGAGTGCGCAGAAATCATTCTTGTGGCTGTCCGCTGGCTCCGAGGCTGACATCAGAGATGGGGCACCATTAGAACCAGAGAGTGGCTGTTCCCCAGTAGGCACTGAAAATCAACTTTCAGGAACTGCCCCAGATCCTGAAGCTGCTGATGCTGGTGTATCTGCTGGCTGTCATGTAGAAGATAACAGAGCTTTGGTGACATTACAACCTCAGAACTGCAAAGAGGTGTAATCCCAGTGGAAGACTGAATCCAGAAACTCAAAAAGGAAGGTAAACACTCAGAAAAATCAGAATAGCGATGTCTCCTTTGTATATTGGAGGGATCACCTTAGAGGAGAGGAGAGCCAGATCTCGAGTGTACGTGTTGGAGTGAATTCATTCGTTGTGGGGATAAAGAGTAAGAATGGGCCCTCACCAATGTCCTCTCCATCCATGTATCCCAGTAGCTCTCATGTGCACTTTAAAATTGTAAGTGCTGTTGCCCAGACCCACCCCTGATCAATTAAATCCAAATCTCTGAGTGTCAGGGCTGAGCACTGGCTTCTTTTTAAATTTCCACCAGTATGTAGCGAGGGCTGAAAACCCCTGAGCTCTCCGAGGCCACAACAAGGGAAGTTGTACCTCAGAAGACAGACAGTTCTGCATTGAATTCCCTAATGTCATAGAAGAATAGAAATGGCACAGCCTTTAAGCTTATGTCTTAGAGGGCTTCTCTGTAGTGTCTGCAATACCTACACAAAGCAGAAGCTCCAGGATTTGCATTTAGCCTTCATGTCACGTATTAACAAGGTGCTTCTCCTTTTCCTAGGTACGCCTTCTCAGAGTGCTGTTTTTCCTCAGGAAGAGAACATGGAGGAGAAAGAAAGGAATGATGGCCCACAGATGCTGAGGTCCCAGGTTAGTTCCGTTTTTCTCTCCTCTGAAACGCCATTACAGTGCTTTTTATTTTTTCACTTCTCAAAAGTTCTGAGTCCCAAAAATCCAGAGCCCAGGAGATTCATGTGACGGATGACATGCTCTCTGCAGCATGTTTTCCATTCACCCAGGTAACTCTCTCTAGCTCTTCTGTCCTTCCAGCATTCTCACCAGACTCAATTTCATGGATTCTTGTCCGTGCTGGATGTTGTGAAGAAAACAGTGGAACAATGGATTGTCTTTTAATCACCCTAAAAGAGCTCACTAGAATTTAAACGATGCTTACATTCTCTCTGTGCAGTGACTGATGCCCAGGCCCCTAGCACCGCTTGGAGCTGATGGGATTATTACGTATGCCTGAGGATAACATCTATCAGAAATTAATGTTTCTCAAGCATCTGTTGTACCTCCTCCAAAACCTGTTTAAGCCTGTTGTGATTCTGTAATCTGATTCAGTGTTATATACATTGATGAGTTTGAGTGCAACGAGAGTTGTTTAGTCAAATGCTTTAGAAAGAGTTGATAAATGCTGTCACTTTTTAAAAATTGCTATCTCTGGCTGGAAGACCTGTGGGGAAAAAGAAAAAGAAAAAAAAAATTGCTATCAAGTTAGGTCTGAACAATACTAAATCACTGAAGAAAACTTACTAGACTCTCAGGATTCCTCCACGAGTATTATTTCCCAAATGTTAGTTGCTTGTTCCAACTTCATGAAACAGAAACTGTTGCATTATAGGTGTGAGTACTCAGTCTTTAAAGTCACTCATAGAAAAGGCTTAGCTTCATTTCCAAAGATGAGAAGATGGAGGCACATTTATATGTTTTAAGTTAAAATACTTCAGGTCTCTGGTGGATCTCTACTTTAGCCGTGTTTTTGCTTGACGCATCAGACACCAGTCTCAGTTGCTTCCGACAGGAGGATTTCTCTCATTCCAGTTACATGTGATGATCATTATCCTTTTCTAGCCAATAAACTCATTGAAGGGGATTTTTGTTTGTTTTTTTGTAGGGGCAAGGTTTCACTATGCTGCCCAAGCTGTTCTCAAACTCCTGGTCTCGAGCCACCTCTGCTTGCCAAAGTGCTGGAAATGCAGGTGTGAGCCACCACAGGCAGGCTGGGGGGCTTCTTAAAACCCATATCACACAACTAATATTTAAAAATGCATAGGCCGGGGACGGCGGCTCATGCCTACAATCCCAGCACTTTGGGAGTTTGAGACCAGCCTGACCAACATGGAGAAACTGTATCTCTACTAAAAACACTAAATTAGCCAAGCATGGGGGCACATGCCTGTAATCCCAGCTACTTGGGAGGCTGAGGCAGGAGAATCACTTGTACCCAGGAACCAGAGGTTGCAGTGAGCCAAGATGGCGCCAGGGCAACAAGAGTGAAACTCCTGTCTCAAAAACAAAAACCTCTGGGCGTGTAATCCAGCACTTTGGGAGGCCAAGGCGGGCGGATCACAAGGTCAGGAGATTGAGACCATCCTGGCTAACACAGTGAAACCCTGTCTCTACTAAAAATACAAAAATTAGGCCGGGCGCGGTGGCTCAAGCCTGTAATCGCAGCACTTTGGGAGGCCGAGGTGGGTGGATCACGAGGTCAAGAGATCGAGACCATCCTGGTCAACATGGTGAAACCCCGTCTCTACTAAAAATACAAAAAATTAGCTGGGCATGGCGGCGCGTGTCTGTAATCTCAGCTACTGAACCCAGGAGGCAGAGGTTGTGGTGAGCCGAGATCACGCCATTGCACTCCAGCCTGGGTAACAAGAGCGAAACTCTGTCTCAAAAAAAAAAAAAAAAAAAAAATTAGCTGGGTGCAATAGCACACCCCTGTAATTACCAGCTACTCGGGAGGCTGAGGCAGGAGAATTGCTTGAACCTGGGAGACGGAGATTGTGCCACGGCACTCCAGCCTAGGTGACAGAGCAAGACTGTCTCAAAAAAAAATGTGTAATGTTGGATGCTGCTGTGAATACAAAAGAGAGCAAATACAATCGGTGTTGGGAGAAAGGAGAAGTCTGACTGAGACTGGGGGTGGGGGAAGCCTTCGTGAAAAAGGCAGGGTTTGACTTTGTGTTCACACCAACAGGTAGGGTTTGGAGATTAGAGAAAACGGGACCACTGCAGACAGAAAATAAAACTTGAGCAAGAGGAGGGACGACGCGGGGACTGTCAGCTGGAGCTGAGCTTGTATTTGGTATTTTAGTGCTTTGGGGTCTTTGGGTTTCAAGGGATAAATTCATTTGATTTATTTATTTATTTTTTTTTTTTGAGGTGGAGTCTTACTCTATCACCCAGGCTGGAGTGCAGTGGCACAATCTTAGCTCACTGCAACCTCCACCTCGTGGGTTCAAGCGATTCTCCTGTCTTAGCCTCCTGAGTGGCTGTGACTACAAGCGCACACCACCACCTGGCTAATTTTTTTTTTTGGTATTTTTAGTAGAGACAGGGTTTCACCATGTTGGCCAGGCTGATCTTAAACTCCTGACCTCGGGGGATCTGCCTGTCTCCGCCTCCCAAAGTGCTGGGATTACAGGCGTAAGCCACCACACCTGGCCCATTTAGTTTATTCTTTCTTTTTTTTTTTTTTTTTTTTTTTTTTTTTTTTTGAGACGGAGTTTCGCTCTTGTTACCCAGGCTGGAGTGCAATGGCGCGATCTCGGCTCACCACAACCTCCGCCTCCTGGGTTCAGGCAATTCTCCTGCCTCAGCCTCCTGAGTAGCTGGGATTACAGGCACGAGCCACCACGCCCAGCTAATTTTTTTTGTGTGTTTTTAATAGAGACGGGGTTTCACCATGTTGACCAGGATGGTCTCGATCTCTTGACCTCGTGATCCACCCGCCTCGGCCTCCCAAAGTGCTGGGATTACAGGCTTGAGCCACCGCGCCCGGCCTAGTTTATTCTTAATTAACTGTAAGACTCCCCAAAGACAGGAATCGAAAGACACCTAGAACTAAGGTGGCATGTCTCCTTTTCCACATTGTAGCGCAAAGAGTTAGTTTTAATTTTCTGGAACCATTTTTTATGTTCAGAAGGAAGATGATTCATTAATTCAGTAAATATTTTTTGAGCAGCTAGTATGTGACAGAAATTCTTTTTTCTTTTCTTTCTTTCTTTTTTTTTTTTTTTTGAGACGGAGTCTCGCTCTTGTTACCCAGGCTGGAGTGCAATGGCGCGATCTCGGCTCACCGCAACCTCCGCCTCCTGGGTTCAGGCAATTCTCCTGCCTCAGCCTCCTGAGTAGCTGGGATTATAGGCACGCGCCACCATGCCCAGCTAATTTTTTGTATTTTTAGTAGAGACGGGGTTTCACCATGTTGACCAGGTTGGTCTCGATCTCTCGACCTCGTGATCCACCCGCCTCGGCCTCCCAAAGTGCTGGGATTACAGGCTTGAGCCACCGCGCCCGGCCTCTTTTTTTTTTTTTTAAGATGGAGTTTTGCTCTGTCACCGAGGCTGGAGTGCAATGGCACAATCTCGGCTCACCGGAAACTCTGCTTCCTGGGTTCCAGCGATTCTCCTGCCTCAGCCTCTCTAGTAGCTGGTATTACAGGCATGTGCCACCAATGCCCAGCTAATTTTGTATTTTTAGTAGAGATGGGGTGTCTCCATGTTGGTCAGGCTGGTCTCGAACTTCTGACCTCAAGTCACTCTGCATTAAATGTGTGAGCTACCAGACCTGGCCAGAAAGTCCATCTTTTTTTTTTTTAGAAAGAGTCTCTCTCTGTTGCCCAGTCTGGAGTACAGTGGCACAATCTCAGCTCGCTGCAACCTCTGCCTCCCAGGTTCAAGCAATTCTCCTGCTTCAGTCTCCCGAGTAGCTGGAATTATAGGTGCCACCACTCCTGGCTAATTTTTGCATTTTTAGTAGAAGTGGGGTTTCACCATATTGGCCAAGCTTGTCTCGAATTCCTGACCTTGTGATCCGCCCGCTTCAGGCTCCCAAAGTGCTGGGGTTACAGGTATGAGCCACTGCACACGGCCGAAAATCCAGTTTTATCAGCTTAAATGAGAAGAAACACAGTGTAAAAGGGAACGAGGTCTTTGGGCCCTACAACTTCAATGGGCAGCCTGAGAAAACCTTACCCAGCTACAGACACAGGCTCCTTCTCATGGAAAAGAGAAGATGACCCTGTTGAGCCGAAGCCCAGTGTGTAGGGTCAAGAATCTCGAGGAACAGCTCCCAGGAAGTAGTCCTGAGCTCCACTTCAGACACTGGCCACCTGTGCCCACTCCGCTGCATCTTAGAGTTGCTGTGGACTGCTGTTGACTTGCAGGAGAGTGTCCCTAGTGGCTGTTCCTTTGACTTCTCCACAGTGTATGTTTGTGAGGTGTGGGGTGGGAAGCCAGATAACTTTTCAGTTCACAGGTCATCAGAAAGAGAGAAACCATTCAAGAAACTGCACGCCATGCCTGTAATCTCAGCACTTTGGGAGGCCGAGGCAGGTGGATCACCTGAGGTCGGGAATTCGATGCCAGTCTGGCCAACATGGTGAAACCCCATCTCTACCCCAAATACAAAAATTAGCCAGGCATGGTGGCAGGTGCCTGTAATCCCTACTACTTGGGAGGCTGAGGCAGGAGAATTACTTGAACTTGGGAGGCAGAGGTTGCTGAGACCACGCTACTGCACTCTAGCCTGGGCAGCAGAATGAGACTCCATCTCAAAAAAGAAAATGCACTCCAGGATCTTCACCTACATGTAGACCTGTTTAGACGAAACAATCCTGGACTTTGAGCCACTGCCATAATGGAATGAAACTTGACGTTCTGGGGGAACATGAGTGTATTTTGCATGTGAGAAGGATGTGAATTTTCACAGCCAGAGGGTAGACTATGGCAGATTGTATTTCTCCCAAATGGCACAATTTCTCCCTTCCAACAGGCTTCTCACAATGGGATTAAATACACTTCCCATCGAGAGACGAGGGTGTCTATTTCTTCCCCTTGGATCTGGGCAGGCTTATGTGATGG